GCGAGCTCTATTTAACTAAATCCTTGGCCCCCTTTTATATTGTCTTCTCTATCGTTCTATGCCAGGGCGCCAGGAAAAGTTAATTATAACTTCTAAACACTCCATTAAGGGTCCCCCACCCCCACCCCATCTTCCTCCTCTGCCCGAGGCCATGCGACTGAATCAGCTGGCTCATTGTGCCCTTCACAGACCTCCCTCTGCTTTTCTTTCATGCCCAAGGCTAAGCTGCCTTGGCTGAGCTAGCCTGATCTCCATCTCCAGCCCTTTCAGAGGCTCATGGGAGTTCACAGGATGAACAGGAGCCAGGTGGGCTGGCTCGTCCAGCACCACATGCACTCAGCAGGTGACACTGTTGAGTGGAGAGGCCAGCAGGCTATGAGGACAGATATCTGGGCCCAGATAAGCAGATATCAGCCACTAGCTACATGGCAAGATGTAGTTAGGTCCATAGCACATGGGGGTGGGGCGGAGCTAAGAAAGGTGAAAATTAGCCTGAAGGCCTAATGACACTTGGGGCTGGGGGAGGGCGGGTGTCTGGGGGAATCTGAACTGTCTGCTACCCCTGGAGAAAGTGGAATTCCCAGAGTTATCCCACTGGTCTGTGTGGAAATAAAAGCTGGGGCACTGTCTGTGGTTAAGGTTGTTGAGAGGAAAGTAAGGACAGGGCACAAAGAAGTGATGGAGAAGCAAAGAGGAAGAAGACTCGGGGGCCAGGAAGGAGAACTGTGCAGAAGTGCCAGTCAGTTGCCAGGTGCACCAAGCAAAGGCTAGAGGGACGGATGGGAAGGAGTGAGCTGTCTTCAGCCTCCTGCCCACCCTAGGGCTTGCAGGGACTGATACCTGAAGCTGGAAATGTGAATGAAGGCCACATAGACTGTGTATCCCCATCCAGGGGCCAGGAGGCAATCCTGGGCAGTCCAACCATGAGCAGACGTCTTCCCAATAGGTCTATCATTTATCATTTGGCAGCAGCAGAATCCGCCCTGGTGTCCTCACCCAGGAAACCCTGAGCCAAGCAGCCCTGGGGGTGGGGTGGGAGCTGATTCTGTGCTGCCCAGTGATCACATTATTGCCTGAGGAGGAGGAGGAAGAAGAAGGAAGTTCCTTGGCTCTGCTCAGCAAGTCTCACATTTTTTCCTTTTACCCTGAGAAGATGGAGGATGTGCCCTTAGCCATTTCTTAACTTCTTACTGGAACAATCACAGGAGAAACAGGGGGTTATGATGCAGCTTCCACCTTTACCCCTCCAAGGGCCCACACAAATGCCTGTCATAATGAAAACACCGACATCCCTGAATTCTGACAGCAGCTCAGAGGAAGCATGGGGTGGGCTGCTCAACCCTGGGTGGGTCTCACTGTCTCACTGAGAGTCTGCGCTAGCTTTTAAATCTCCTGTTTGTTGGGAACTGGCCTGGATTGAAACTTCACTTCTATCCCTGAGACCAGCAGGTAGGGAAGACGTTGCCTGGGTTCAGCTCCAGGACCTGGGAGGTGGCATAGCTGAGAAAGGCTCGTGGATGCATTAGGATGAATAGCCAGGTGGGACTCTCTTATGCTGCCCACCCTGGATAGTGTACACCACCAGTCACCAAGGGGACCAGGCCTGAGAGCCAGAAGCTCTGACTTTGCTGCAGAGCAGTACATGCTTCTCTTAAGGGACTAGAAGAAAGCAAGGCCATGACAAAGGAAATGAGTCTCCTGACCCAGACATCCATTCTAGAACCTTCCGGAGTGGCTGCCCATAATGCCACCACCCTGACTCTGCTACATCTGCCTTTGGGAAGTCATGGAGCCCTCCACCCTTAAACCCAAAAGTCTCCACCACACTTTGGATCAGCACCAACTCCTAACCAGCCTTGCTCACACTACCCTTGTTTTGCTTTGCTTTCTGGCCCACCTCAGGGCCTACAGCAGCCATGCTGTCTGCCTCATACTCTTCCCCAGCTCTACACGCTCTACCCTATGTCTACCTTCTGGCCTGGTCCAAGGTCGTCAATTGCAGGGTGTCCCATAACCACCCAGCCCAAGGCCTACACTACCACACCCCCGGGTCCCCACGTCAGTCCTCCGAAGATTCCTGCTTCTCCCTATGGACCAGGCCACCATCTCCCCAACTAAGCAGGACCTTGAACACTTACTTCCCATGTCCCCAGCACCTGACACATGCTGACTCCTATGGGTCCTCAGCATATGAGTCAAAAGAGCATTTTCTTCTGGTCTGTTCTCTGTCAATGGAGACTGCTGACTGCTGTGATCTCATGTCCACACTCAGAAGCAGAGAGGTAAACATGCATTTACAGCCAGCCCTGACAGCTCACCTCATCACAAGTTGCTCTCCTCCCAGTCCCTGCTCCTTTCCTGAGGGAGCCCTATATGGAAATGCCAGTTCACAGAAGCAACTGTGACATGCACTCCACACAAAGCTTAACTGTTTCTCCCATGCCAGCCTCTGATCTATCTTTGGAGGTAGACACAGTAGTGGTGCCTGGCCACCATGCAGAATGGGGTAACTAAGGTCCAGAAAAGACCTCCAGCTGCCACTGTCACCTGCTCAGGAAGCAGACCCGGGGTGTCAGCCCCAGACAGTGAAGCCATGCACCCTACTCCTAAGAACAAGAGATGCAACAAAGAGCCTCACTGAAGAGTCCTACTGTCTGGGTTTGAATCCCAGCTCTGCCACATACCAGCTGTGTGGCCTTGGGCAAGTTGCTTTGCTTCCCTGGACCTTGATTTTCTACTCTGTAAAATGGAGCTAACAATAGCTGCTCCCCCGTGTCATCAGGACTGAAGGAGGTGATTCTACACAGGAGACCACAGAATAGACACTTAGGAAATGCACTCTGTACCCACATGCACTACACACACACACACACAACTATCCCAGCCAGAATCTTCAAGCCCCCAGGAGCCTCTCTTTTCCCAGCAGGAGTGATATACTCTAGCAACCAATAACATTTCCACCAAGTGTCTGGTTCCTAGCCCTGGATCATAAATAGAGAGGGCATCTCCTGGCTCTGCGGCCTGCAGCTCAGCCTACCTTATGGCATCCCTAGCCTCTCCAAAGACTTCAAGGCAGCCAAGAAGAGAGGCCTGTGGGAGGAAGCTTTCAGGGTCCCATGCTTTGCCCCAAAACATCTGGCCACATCCTGTGCTGACTCTCAACTCCTCTGTCAAGGCCTAAGCCTCCAAGCCAAGTTTCCCTAGAAGGCTACCCTTTCCTGGAAAAAGCCACAGCCCATCTCCATGCCATGGTCACTTGGTGATCCAGGCCCACAGACCACTCAACTCAAGTATTTGAGCCATACTTCAGGGTCCATGAATTTTCATCTGTCAAAAGAGAATGCACAAAGAAACATCTCACCAAAGCTATAGCCACAATTTCTTCACAGCAGAGTAGAAAAGAACCAGCCATGCCAGGCTTGGCACATAGTAGGTATCTGGCCTGTGGTGACCCTGACCCAGCCAGAGGGAAACTATCATCTTTCATCACTCACAGCAGAAGAGACAAAGAGCTACCCTGGGCATAGAGGACCACTGGCCTTGGCTACACACTCCCCTAACCTCGCCTTCACATGTTCTAGCCCAAATGAGCCTGGATTAAAATTCCCCATTCGAAAAATCAATATTTAAAGTGCCAAGCCTGCCAAGTGGAAGAGAAGGCTTGCTTGTAAATATTTGTCTCCACTGGCAGAGCCAGGCCTCTCACTCTCTACAGCTCTCCGCCTCATGGCTGGCCCCTGCTCCAGGCAGCTGCATGTGGCACACCCAGAGATTGCAAAGGACCAGACAATCTGGCAGCCACTGCCACTGGGGAGCTTCCCTTGGGAGGGATCGACATACCTGCTTTTCCTCTCTGGGACAGCAGGCCTGTGCCCCAGGCTACCCAGGAGCCATCCATCTGCCCACCCCTCCCCAAGGTGGAGACAGGGCCACCTCATTGTGACTTTTCCTCAGACTCCCGAACATGCAAATTCCCTACCCCAGGTGTTGGAGAGGGGCATACTAGGGAGAGGATCTTTGGAAAAAGAAAAGCACCAGGGCAAAGCCCTATCCATTACTTTGTGGGGTCAGGCTCAGTCACCTACACCAGTTGCTGCCCATGGGATGAACCACCTCAGGTTCCTGTGACCCCCATGGGGCCACAGAGCAGAGGGGTCTCCTCACTGGAGGTTGAGCCATGGCATCACTATTCTCAGAAAGTCATTCTCCATGCACCAACTCATTCATTCATTCACCAATTCATTCATTCATTCATTCATTCACCAGTAGCTTTTTTGTAAGCACCTATGCCAGGCACTCAAGGCTGAACACATGGGTGGACCTTACATATGTAAGACAAATCCCTTTAAGAGGGTCTCCAATATCAAAGACTTCAACAAACAAATAGGAGGTCACAGCCCAAGGTAGGATGGGAGAAAGGTACAAAATAAGCCAGTCTGAGAGGCCAGCGAAGGGCTCCACCAAGGTGGTGGACAGGACACAGGCTCAGGAAGTACAGGGCAAGGCAGGGATGGCACGCTACCAGGAGAGAGCAGCTCTGGATGCCATGTCCTCCCAAGCACCGTGTGTGGTCAGTACACAGGACCTACCCAGCCATTCATTGAACTTCTTAACCTCACTTGGGAGCCCCAGCTCCGTGAAGTCCCCGGCGTGGATCAGCACATCACCATAGGGCATCTGGATGGGGTCTGTCCTTGAGTGGGTGTCAGAAACACAGACAAAGCGTGTGTAGCCAGGTGGCTTTGGGGCGTCATGAGGCACGGGGTCCACCCTGCAGGGAGAGAAGATGCTGTGGGTTACGGGGGTCACAAAGCCATGGTCCTGTGGGGTGGTGAGTCTCCAAAATACAGCCAGTCCATGCTCCCAGCCACATCAACTCAAATAGTGTCATTCTGATCATGAGCCAAATGACCAGACTCCTGGAGAGTCTAACAAAATGTTCTTGTCTCCTGTGCCTGGGATTCCCCTCTGTCTCATAGTGTAAGGGCCACCTTCATTGTCAACTTGATGGAACTTTGGATCACTGTAGAAACACAGACTTGGGGAGTTTGGGAAACCTTTCCCTAAAGGTTTCACCTTGAAAATAGGGGACACCATTGGAGTCCTAAGAGCTAAGCACCAGCAGTCATCGGCCCTGCTGACAGTGGACAGAGTGGGACCAGCTCCCTCATATTCCTGTTACCAGGTCTTCCAAGCTATGAGCCAAAAAGAACCCTTCCTTATGCTGCTTTGTCTGGGTTTTTTGTTTCTGTTGTTGTTTTGGTCACAGCAATGTGGAGACCTCAGAGAGCCTCTGTGAATGCCGGATCGCCATGCCCACGTGCAGCGCCTGCAATTAGAGCCCAGCTGTTCTGGACTAAAGCAACATTTCCCAGCTCACTATCACTGCTGGGCCTGCTGAGTTTTAACATCACAGAAGCACTCCATCTCCCGAGCTAGCTGTCTATGCTTTGTCTGGAACTCACATTTTTTTTTTCAACTTCTCAAAACCAGCTTTCACCCCTGGGGGGCACTATTGCCCCACTGACGCTGAGTGGCCTGAAATCCCTGGTCCATTCAAGAGAACTGGCCCTGAGCTCAGCATTCAGCACAAAGGACTGAGAAGCCCCATTACCAAGGAAAACAGCACAGGAGAGGCCCCAAAAGACAGGTGACTTCTGGGGACTAAGACAATGTGGTCATTTTGACACCAAGAGCCTTCTGGGATTGTGTAAAGCAACACCCCTGCAGTCAAAAACCAAGTCCCTGAGCCCAGCTCTGCCACTGTCATTTAGACACAAGCAGAAGCCATGGCCTGGTTTGCACCTCCCTGGACAAGAACAGCCCAGAAATTAAAAGAATATCGCTAAATAAGCTCTATCCCTGTTCCCAGGAGCCCTCTCAGCTGGCTGAGGAGCCACCACCACCGGCCCCCCAATCCAGTGTTCTTCGCAGACCGTACCACATCCCCAACTAAATGACTTCACCAGGCTCACAACGCTTAAAAACAACGCAATGACATTTCAACAAGCAGCCCTCTCCAAACGAGTATGCTGCTAGAGGAGTTGTGTTTAAATCTAATTATGCGTCAAACCAAAAGCAGTACCGTATCAGTTACATAAATACTTTTAAAGACATCTTTCTAATTATCCTTTTTTTTCAGACAATATACTTCGAAGAAATTTAATTAACACCTTATGAGAGACATGGGTTCAGTCAGCATGCTAATGTGCACGATGCCTCCTCATGCTGGATCTGCAGCAGGTGGAGGCGCCACACCAACCTCTCCCCCCATCACTGAGGTACCACATGGGGGGAGCACCCCTGGTCCCCCTTTGGGGGTTGTTAAGCCAAGACAGAGCCTTGGCAGCTTGGAGCTAGGCTGACTGGAAAGATGGAGAAATTTGCCAAGTGAGTCCAATAATGGGCAGCCAGGAAGGTGCTGGGCTCTCATCTCTCTCTGTCCACTCATTCCATGTTCAATTATCACAAGTACTGAGTACCTAAAAGGTAGCAGCCTATGAGGCCAGTGAGGGTCGGAGGGATAAGCAAGCTAGGGCCCCACCCACCAGGAGTCCATAGAATACAGGCAGCTACAGATTTGACTAGACCCCAACCCTGCAGCCCCCAGTTGTAACAGAGCAATGGAAGGGCTGAAAACCAGAGAGGGAGGACCCTAACCTGCTCTGGGTTTCTGGAACCTTCCAGAAGGAGGCAGTGTGTGAACAGATCTAGAAGGCAATTCTCACCTTTCCTATGTCCTCTGGAACTCCCAGCACCTCCTCTCCAAGACAAACAACGGGGGGGGGGGGTTATCCCTCACCCGTGCTCTCTGCCCATCCTGACAGTGCTGACTGGACCACAAGCAGCCTATCAGCTCTGGACTACCTACCAGTGCACACAGGAACTCAGACAAACCAAACAAATCCATGTGTTCTCCCACCCATCACACACACACACACACACACACTTTACAAATGTCATAATGTTACAAAAGCTAAGTCAAAGAGATTGGGAAAAAGAAAGAGGAGGACGTCTGGGAGTGTGGTGGGATCCACAGTCTCTCTTTAAGAGGTGACCTGGCCACCAGGCAGCTGAGGGCTCTCATCAACATCATCAGGTTGTGGGAGCCCAAGCTCTTTAATTAACTTTACCTTATTTCCCTGCACCCCGAGGCTGCTAAGCACAGTGAAGATAGAAGCCTAGAGATCCCCAGAGAGAGAGAGTGAGCTGAAGTCTCCTTTTCCAAGCTCAGCTCTGCAGCAAAGCTGTTTGCCCAACCTTGCAGAAAAAGAGAGCCAGCTTCAGTCCGGTGTCTGGGAACTCAGCACGGACTGCACAGTGTCCCTGCATTTGCTTTCTTCTCCTCCTTTAACCCTCACACAGTATCCTACCAGCATCTCCATTTTGCAGGTGACAAAAGGCTGTAAAAGGGGGAAAGGGGAAAAGGCTGTTTCACTCACAGTTTCATCCACAGAAGCTGACTTCAGGGGGCTAGGAAGATCACTCAGTGAGTAAAATGCCTTCACTCTGTCCCCAAAAGCCATCCTGGACAGCAACATGTCTGGTGTCAAACACCCACACAGGCCTCATAAGAGATGTGCTGTCCCTCAGTTACCCCAGGGAAAGAGGGTGCTTTGAAGTCTAAAGTTCCTGTAACACAGGCAGCTGTGGGCCTGGGCATTGGCCATATTGTTTGAGAATTCTGCAAAAGAGACTGAAGCCCAAGACGGGCAAAGAGGGGTCAGCTCCATACAACACAACTGCCCTAACCCTCTCTGTCTGGTGCTCCAAGAAGGGCAGATTCAAGGTCACCTGGCCACCCTGCCCATGTACACCCCTTGGCCTGTACTTCCTGCTGTCTCTCAGCCTTCAGTTAGCTGGTCCTTCCAGCTGGGATGGCTCTGCTTCCCTCAAATGCTGCAGCACCTCTGAGGCCTCAAGCCCCCTGCATCCCCAGAGTTCTTCCTGGCCTCATCCACCCTCCTGTCTCCCACTTTCTTTCCAATTGTGCTGTAGTAGGGCCCAGACACAGGCACGGGTGCAGGGGTGTCTAGGAAACAAGCCCCCCCCCAGAAAGAGCATCTACAGCTAGGACAGGGTCAGATTTATGAGCAGTGGGAGTTGGAGGCTTTCCTAAAGAGTAACACACACACACACACACACACACACACACACACACACACACACACACACAGGATGTCTACAGAGCACACAGGGTCGAGAGCTAAAGAAATCACAGAAACAGCCTGTGCAAAGATCTGGGGCTTGGCTGAGGAGTTAGCTCAGCCAGGAAGCACTGGACTGGGAAGCAGACGGACCCCTGAGTTCAGTCTGTAGAACCCAAGTGGAAACTGGACAGACATGCATGCCTGTAATCCAGCGCTGGGAAGGTGAAGACAGGAGGCTGAGCCTGAGCAGTAAGATCCAGGTCTCCAAAAGTAAGGTGGACAGCTCCTGAGGAGCCACACCTCTGGCCTTCATGAGTACACACACACACACACACACACACACACACACACACCAGGTACACACACAACACACGCTTATACTCACACAGCACACACATATGTACACACATGCAAACACACTCATATGCACATGCACAGGAGTGCATGCACACATGTATGCAAATGAACACTCATATGCACACACACAACATACACTCACACACACCACACATGTGCACACATGTGCAGACACACTCACATGAATGCACACATGTGTGTATGTGCACACACGTGCAAACACATGCACACACAGAGACATACACATACCATACACTCACATACATACACCACACACTATACACACACACATGTGTACACACCACACTCATGCACACATATGTGCCCACATGCACAAGCAAACACACATAAAACCTAGAAGGTTTGGGAAAACAGAAGCAGCTGCTGTGTCCATTGCCCAGGAATACAGGACGTGGCTGTATCCTCTCCTGCTTTGCCCCTGGCCCCTGCCCTGCTCCAGACTGAGTCTCAGCCTCTCAGCTAGTGGCTGAGCCCACTGCCCAGAGCCAAGTGGGTGTCCTAGCTCCATACACTTCCCTTCCAAAGCCTTAGAAAGGAGGGGTCAGGTGTCACCCCAGTCAAGTGCCAGGGACGGGACCAGAAGGTTCCTGTCCCTACATCCTCCAGCACCTAGAATCACCTGAGGGGGGGGGCTCTGGCCCATGTCTCCAGTGACCCCAAAACAGCAAAGGGAAGAATTACTTGCTTAACACCAAATGTGCTCCCCCTCCCCAGATACCTTCATGGCAGACATCAGTAACCTTGTCCCTCCCTCTCATTATCCATTGTTACACCTGCATACCCAAGGTCTTGATGCCTGGAGGGCTCTGTCCTGGAATTGCTCAGCCCAGGGCCCACAGATGGAGGCCCCGGTTGCAGACAGTCATTACTCAGCCAAAGGCTGACAAGTTACCAGCAGAGTCTCAGGGGCACCTGAGTAAATCACACAGCTCAATCAGAGGCCATGTTGAACTGTCACTGTTATTATTAAATATAAATTGTGGGTTTATTAAATAGGACCCCCCTCATTCCCCCATCCTAGAGACAAAGCCTGTGGCAGTGATAAATCACTAAGCAGGGAGAAGCAGCCACCCTGCACACCTCTCTCCAAGGCAGAGTGGTGACTTGTGAAGGAAATCCCCTACAGCCTGCAGGCCTCCTCCAGCTCAGATCTGCAGTCTGAATGGAAGGGTCAGAAGGCAGCGGCCCCAGGGTCCTGTGCCTACCCAGACCTCATCCTGCTAAATGCAATGTTGAATTTCAGAGTTGTCTTTGTGTTCTTTCCTAAGCCCTACCCACACCCCAGTGGCCACTCCACCCCATTGCTAATGGAAGTCAGGCCCTCGCTGATTGGAGAGGCATTCCATAGAGCAGGCCAAAGGGGAAAGGTCCAGACCAGGGGAGACACTGGCCAGACAAACAATGAGAAAGCCACCATGATTTTTCTCCGTGGTTTTTGCTACTACAGGTGTCAAGCACTGACATGCTTTTACAGCCTGCTGCTGCCAGTGAGAGCAGGAACGTGCCTGTGATCACTTCAAGCCTAAGCTCCACACCCAGGCCTAGCTCATGCTATGATGAACACCAGTCACTCACACAACTCCACTGCGTGGAGACTTCTCTATTGAACCCTCTGCCTCACTGTAAATCACTTTGCTATTGGAGAAACTGAGGCATCAAGCAGTAGGCCTCACCCAGGTAGGCCAGCCCAGGACCCATGTTTCTAACCAACAAGCTGCCTAACTGTTCCCAAGGAACCTGAATGAGTGAATGAATGAATGAATGAATGAATGAATGAATGAATGAATCAGATAGAGAATGACTGGCCTCTATTGTTCCCTGGATAAATGGGAACAGCCACCCTCTCTCACTCATTCACTTACTGCCTTTCTCCAGAACACAGTCTGTCCCAGGGCCTGTAGCCAGCCTCTCCTACACAGACCTTCTACCCAGCAGGCACCTCTGAGATTCTCAGACACCCTCTCCCATCCTATTTCTCTGTGGGCTCCACCATTCTACTCCTTCTGCTTAGCCTAGGGAACCCTAACACCCCTTCCCAATCACCCCCATACTACTTAAGGTCTCAACTAGAATCCACTTTATCCAGAAGGTCATTCCCAGACACCCCAGAGTTGATGGACCCTTCTCAGCTCTCCTCTCCCATCATCCTGTCTACATGTTTTTCCCTCAGGCTAGGGTCTCCATGAGTCTACCAACCCAGTCACATTCCACGGTAGCCCCAAAGAGCAACATCTCAGAGGCCAATACACTCAAAGATGGGTGTTCATACAAATGCAGACATATCAGCCTCACTGCTCTGTCTGAGGGCCTGGGACTCTCCCACATTCCCACTGGGCAGGACCAACTCCAGCATCGGGGACCTCGGTGTCATCATCTCCAATCCCACCAAGCAGAGCAAGACAGGCCTCTGCCTGCAGCATCCCTGCCAGGATGCTAGGTGCCAAAGACCAAGAAGAGATGTGCCCTCAACGGTGCTTTCAGCCTGCCTAAATCTCCAGTCTGGTTCCCAAATAAAAATAAATTTAAAAAGAAAAAGAGGGAGTACTCAGCTAGAAATCCATCAAAAACTACACCTTCTGACCATGTGGGATGAAGCATCCACAGGAAGGGACATTGTTCCAGCAAGTACTGCTTGCTGTTCCAGCAAGTAAGCTCCCCGCCCAACCACACCACTGTCACCGTCAATGCTTTTCTTCCAATTAATTATCTCCTCAGAAGATCATTTAACAGAGCATGGGGTTGAAGGAAGCCACACAGGAAGAAGTGGCCACACACTATTCCGATGCCCCATCACGCTGCACGCTGGGATCTGAATAACTCACCCAGTGTATGTTGTTCCTGAGTGACAGCTGCTGGGACCTCATGAACCCACTCACTACTCAGAAGTAGGGCTCCAGCCCCTCAAGGAAGCTTAGTGTCTGCACCCCCAGGGGTAATCTAATGTTCTTGAGAGGGGCTTCAAGCAACCCCACAGCACTGGGTCACACTGGCCACAGCTTCTACCTCCTTGTTCTGTCAGTAGGGAGTTTCTTCCTTCTGTATGGGATCAAGATGACCCAGACCCAGTACCCAGTACCCAGTACCCAGTACCCAGTACAAAAAGGTACATGAGACACTCTCAAAGTTTCTAGACAAAGCTGAGAGGAGGTGGTACAGAACCCCCAGACCTCCTCCGTAGAACACCCCAGAAGCATGGGGTCAAACAATGGGAGAGGAGACAGACATCCAGGATGGGGTCCTAACCTACAATTGGGCCTACAGCATGACCCTCTCCCTGTCTGTGACTCAGTCTCCCTGGTGAAGCCACATCCCCAGGCTCGGCTGAAACTCGGCTCCTAGACAAACCCGGAGAAAAAGTGTGCCTGCGGTTGCAAAACTTGTGGTTCCATCATCAAGTCTTGGATCTCTCTATACAATCACTCATTTTCAAACACTTCGGAAGCATTCACCAAGTCCAATAAAACAGGATGAAGAGCCAGTGTGGGTCCCTGGGACCACAAGTTTGGTGCTTCCCTTAGGTCCTCCCAACTTCAACTCAAGTGCAGCACAGAGTGGTTTTGGTCCACAAGCCCCTGGGATATGTTTACAGATGTACCAGAGCCAAGAAGTACCCAAATCCCTGTACCAGCTCGGACCCTGGGCATCAGCACTTACATCTGCACGTGCGGTGGCTGAAAGCGGCCCTGATTGATATTGTAGAAGGTGAAGGCCTGGGTAGGGTTGGAGCTGTATTCGTCCACCTCAATGATGAGTCGGCCATGCTGGTGTCGCCTGGCGGCCATCACGTGTGACTGAGAGAACGCCATACCCAGGCCGCAGGGAAGCAGGGCCAGGGCCTCGGCCTTCAGGATGCCAGGATCCCACCTAGGGCGCCACATGGACCTCCGTGGGCCACCCGGGCATCTCCCACCACCACTGCTGCTGCTGCCGTCGCCGCCGCCGCCGCTGCCACTGCTGGGTCCCCTGCCAGACCTGCAAACAGACTGAAGAGACAGAGCAGAACCATGCAACAGTTAATCTGTTTGGGATTTGTTTTATTTAATGTCAGATGAAGATTTAGAAAGAGGGAAAGGGTGGGGGAAGAGGGGGGAAACACAGTCGCACACAGCTCAAAAACTCATTACAAATCTTTCCAACTCAGCAGTTTGATGAATATACTTTGGTAAAAAGAAGAGAGAAGGGAGGGAGGAGACCATGAGGAAAAGAAAAAAAAAAAAAGATGATGCCATGGACGGATGCATGCATGGTCCAACATGTTTAAATACTTAAGACATTTTTTTCCCTCCAACAAGATTCTCAGAGCCTACAGAGTAGCTAAGCTGGGGACAAGACAATGGCTGGTATTTTGTAAACATGGAAGTTAAATTTCTATTTTTCAGATTTGGGGAACAGGAAGGATTCCTATCTAACTCCACCTCCTCCCCCACATACCCCCCAAACACATCCGAAGGGCCACACCCTCACCCCAGCAAGCCTAAGCAAGTGGGGACAGCCGGGGAAGAAAATTCCTCCTTCAACATCAATTTAGCCTCGAGACATCTTTCAGAGGCTCCCAGAGAAGGGGTTTTGCAAGCAGTGGCCTTGCAGCTCCTCTGCTGAGGCAGGATGGTGGCCCCAAAAGAAAATCTAGAGTGAGAGGATGTCCCCTGCCTGTGCGTCACCCTGTCCCCATCGGGGTCCCAGGACCCAAGGACCCACTTAATCACACAGTAAAAATTCTATAGTTTTTCTTTCAGGGGAAAGGTGTGGTTTACAGGTGAATTTAACTGGACTAAAACTCCCCTGCAGCAGATTCTGAGCCAGCTGTGTGGCTCCTGGAGGCATAGACCAGGCCAGTGAGACAGCGTCCTGTCCTGGTGGACTTGGTGCCTGGTTACTGACATTGTGATTCTCTCACCCGTGTGAGCAGGCAGTGACTTGAAGTTTTTGTTGTTGTTGTTGTTGTTTTTGTTTTGCCTTCTTGTTTTCAGGTTTGCTTTTAAGATCCTCCAAAAACCCTGTTTGCACTGTATTTAACCAAGGAGAAAATCACGTAGTTTAAGTGATTCCTGGACACTTAGATCCCAGTCACATTAAAGGAAGAAAAATCCCCCTTGCTTTGTGCTCAGAAGGGGAATCGACACACTTGAAAACAGATTAGATTAGGAAAATGACAAAAATTAGAGAATGGAGAACATTTTAATTATGTGCAAGGAAAAACGAGTTATTAATTCTTTAAAAAAAAGCTCAATCATTCCCATACAAAGTAAAATAAAATAGCAATAATTTCTTCTCCTCTCAAAACATGGAAAGAAAGGGACAGTCTTGTCAGGCAAGGTAAGGTACATCAGTAGTGTCAGAAGACTGAGGCAGGAGGATTGTTGTGAGTTTCAGACCTCATCTTTAAAAAAAAAAAAGACAGAACTAGATATGCCGAGATGCATTTATGAGCCCAGCACTTGAGAGGAATAGGGAAGCAGGTGGTCAGGGGTTCAAGCTCATTGAAGCTTGAGGCCAGCCTGGGCTATATAACACCTTGTGGCTCAGTGGTGAAGAGTACTGTCTGCTCTTCCAGAAGACCTGGGTTCAATTCCTAGCACCCACATGGCAGCTCACAATTGTCTACTCCAGTTCCAGGGAATCTGACATCCTCACACAGACATATATGCAGACAAAACACCAATACACATAAAATAAAAATAAATGATTTTTAAAGAAGTTAAAGAGGAACAGAGGGAAGAAGAGAGAGAGAGAGAGAGAGAGAGAGAGAATCTGACCCTGGGTCACAGTTTGAAACATCAGCCCAAACCATGTGGCCTGACCCTGCTCTCCCAGTCTGAGTCACTGTCCTCCTGTCCAGGTGGGGACAACCACTCACCCTTCACCTCTGAGCATACGAGGCCTCTGACAAGAACCTTCCCCTGGGGCCCTGTGAGAAGCCTGGGTATCTGCTGAGAGGAGAGCATGTGTCTCCATGACTTATCCCTGCATGCTACTGGCTGTGACCACAAACAAATGCTCTACACTCCCACGGGCTGTCTGGTCACCCACAAAATGAAGAGAACAACAGTCCCAGCATCAGAGTTGTGACAAAATGACACCCATGTAAACTGGTTGTCACATGGCCTGGGGGTATACAGCAAGCTGTGACTCTATTCTTTCATTAGTCTCTCCCTGGTGGCCCATCTCCAAGCGTCACAGATGCTGAAAACATGGATGGATGGATGGATGGATGGATGGATGGATGGATGGATGGACAGACAGATGAACCAGTGCATGCACATATAGACAGTGTCTCACCAGACTCCTTCCTTACCACACAGCACAGACCTGGCAAAGGATGGGTGTCTGTAGAATCCAGTCAAAGCCTAAGGAGTCACAGACCTCCTCCCTTGCCAGCCCCATGTCATCAGCCCATCAAGGGCCCAGCCTGCACAAAAGGGCATCCAGGACCACACACACACACTGCCCGCCCCCAGGGAAGCAGGTGTCAGTAGAGACACCTCAGTGGGAAAGCTGCCTGGCAACAGGAGATTCCGAGGGAGCCCTGGGATGCCAGACCTGCAGTGCCATGCCGCACTTCACATAAGGAGGACTCACCGCAGGTCCCACCTAGAGAAACCAAGGAAACCGGGAACCCAGTGCCTCCTTCTGAGCTTCCATTGCGTGTTTATGGGGCTGTTGCAGCAGCCGCCAGCACACCCGCGCTCAGCTCCGCAGTCCACTGAGGGAGAGGAGCTTCCCCAGAAAATGGCTTTCAGCTGGGAAATGCTCACACCTGGTCCCCAAAATGTAGTAGCATGTGTGCTTGGTGGATGACTGACTGGCTTGAGTCCTAGTCCCCTGTCCAGTTGGGTGACCTTGAACCAATTCACAGGTCCTGACGGGGTGGGGGGGAGGAGGTCCTGTTAGGACTAATCCAGGATGGGGAGAGATACAGAGAGAAGCAGGGGAAGCGAGGGAAGGAGGGAGGAAGGGAGAAGGAAGGAAGGAAGGAAGGAAGGAAGGAAGGAAGGAAGGAAATGAGGGGAGGAAGGGAGGGAGGGAGGGAAGGAGGAAGGAAGGAAGGAATCCACCTTGTTCAACAAATACATTTCGGATCCCACTTTCTGCCCCTGTTCCCTGTGCTCCCCCCCCCAAAAAAAAACAAAACCTACTGAAAACATAAAAAGGTCCATGTCCCCAAGGAACGGACTGGGGGCAGGGGGTAAATGCATACATAAACAGCAAAATGTGTTTTCAGACAGTAGTATCCGGAAGAAAACAGGGCTTAGAAACAAGATAGCACACAGTGAGGGTTCTATAAATTGGATGATCATAATAGGTGTCATCAAAGGAGACAGCACCTAATAGGATAGGTGAGTGACCCCAGCCATACCCAGGCCTGGAGAAAGAGAGCTGAGGCAGAGAGTGGGCAGCAAGTTCAAAGGCCCTGAGGGACCCTCCTGGTTTTGTCCCTCTGGCTGTCTGCCAGCAGGCCTCTGGGGTGAAGAGATCACAGGGAATGAGTTCAGGTGATGCTGGGACATCACCTAATGTCTTTCTACTTCCCTACTAGTCTCCCCTTGGAGTTACAGAGAGGGTAGGAGGAGTTTCTTGTCTCCTGTTCCATAAAGCCCCGGTAAGAAAATCGAGTTTGAAGGTTCTGGGCTTGCCTGGTCAGCACTGGTGAACACATTCCTTCCATTTGGGGGACTAGCTTAAGTCTTGTCCTCTTCTAAGATGGCCTCTCTTTGGAGTCATGGTTTGACCAGGACACTGAGGGGCAGACTGTGCTGAAATGCCCACTGTGTGGGACGCTAACACCCACAAAAGAGGTCCCAGTTCAGCTCCTGTGCCCTAGCTTTGTCTAGCTTCTGCTGATTCTGGACTCTGTTACCATAGCCACAACATACCAGCCTCCAGGGGTGCTTACAACTCACTCTGCCCACTCCTTCTGGAACACCCAACCTCCTAGGAGTAACAGCTGCCCTCCAGGAAAGCCAGCAACCCTAGACATGCCAGTGTGACACCAGCCCAGTTCCCGCCTCACTCCTCAGTCCCAGCTCAGTCACTCAGTCACTGCCAACCAGGAATCTACATGGAGCCTCCATGTGTGCAGCTTCTCATACCACTCTCCCCTGGGGTTGACCACCTGGTTCCTGGCTCAAAGCCTTGAGGATGATACCAAGCCTCCCTGGGCTGTATCAGAGCCTCTACTCATTGTCCCCAGATCATTGCTGATCAAAGCTCCCAATGCTGGTCCTGATCCTGTATCTGAGATAAATGAGAAACCAGAGTATAAAATGATGGATGATGAGTGCATGAAAACATGGATGGATGCATGCATGCATCATAAATGGATATAGAGATGGTGCATGCATAGACACATGAATGCATAAATGGACCATGAGTGGATGCATGGATGTACAAATGGATGGATGGATGGATGGATGGATGGACAGACATGTAGATAGATGTG